GCTGCCGGACACCCCGGGTCCCGGTCCTGGCTCAGCTGCTTGCTTACCAGCTGGGTCACCTCATTCACTCATCCAACATTTATTGGCCACCTTCCTGGGTGCCAGGCTCTGTCCCAAGCATGGGACACAGCTTATCATCTATCGCTCCTTTTATCCTCACAACCAACCTTTTAAGTAGGTGAGTGCTATTATAATCACACTCTACAGATGGGACAGCTGAGCTAAGAAAACGTCACATAATGTCGCCAGTTGCCACACCGCTAGTAAATGGTAGGGCTGGGTGGACAGGATTCCCACGCAGCCTGGCCCCAGAAACCCAAGCACTTTACTGCAATACTACGGAACCTCAGTGTCCTCCACTATAGTATTAGGGTGGTCCCACTCAGTCCACTCAGTCCTACAAGATTGTGTTATAGGGTGAAAATTCCACTAGAAAAGTGGCTCATAGTCACAGTTTTCTTCCAGGACCCAGCATGGTGACAGGCACATAAAAGGTAACCGTTAAGTGTTTGCTGAATCAATGAATGAATGAATGATGGCAATCAAAGCCAAANTGCACCAAACAGAGAGTACAGGTGAGGGCTGGGAGAGGGGAGGGGGTATGAGGGCATGTCCCTAACTTTCATGCAACTGGGGGTGGGGGTAACTTTCAGTTTCACATGTCACATGACAAAATTGGCACATGATGGGGAAAACCTGTAATGTGCTTGAAACAGTATGGAGAGTAACACACCCTTTTCATTCGTGACTTTTGATGCACCTACTTAATGCCTCATCCCCCCCTCACTGTTAGCATTTTCATGTACTCCAGGCCGCCTTTCAAAGCAGGGCTGGTCTAGTGTGCCCAGTTGACAACTGTGTACCCTGTCGTTCTCACATAGCATGAGCATCCAAGTGGTTCTCTTATCATTAGAGACACCTAACATGTGTCCTCTTTAATGGTGACAAAATCCTGCGACCCAATAGATACCTCACGGTTAATCCCTCATTGCTGGCCTGCTAGTTTCCCCCAGTGAATTCCTCTTACGCGCTCCAGTCTGCTCAGCACCACGCTACAGATCACACCCTGCGCTCACACACCACGCACCAGGCTTCAGCGTGGAAGTGGGCAAAACTCATAGCAGCAAAATAATGTTTTTAAGCTCTGTCCAATTATCCACAAATCTTTAATTTCTATTTTCTCGACTTCATTTCTAAACATATCCCAAACATGAGAAAGCTGAGATGATTCTTATGCTGTCACATATGAAAGCACAACTCACACACTGTGAGCGCTTTAATTACCGTAATCAGCATCATACTATTTTTACTTTCTCGGATGAGAAAGGTTTTGTCATTTTGGCTAAGAGAATAGAGGGGGCTGACTTGAGCCTGCTGAACACCCTTGTTTATACTCACAAGACTCTGTGTGTGTGTGTAAGGAATGGAATGAGAGCAAGCCTACACTTTAACATCTGGGTCTTCATGGGTGACCCTGGGGCAGAAAGCCCACGTGTCCATACCACCTGCTCCAACCAGCTCACACTCCCACTTTGGTCTGGGGAGCACCCCTCCCCCTCCTCCAGCAGAGCTCCAGCAGGGTGAAGCTGACCTTAGAAAAAATCCCATTTTCCCAGAGGCTCGCTCATGTCACTTATCAGGTGCCTGTGACAAATGGGCTCTGGGCCTGACCCTTGACAACCAAGGTCACCTTTACCCCTTACAACAAATCTCCCCAGATTACTTCCTTCTAACTGGCGAGGGAACATGACTTGCCTGGGGTCCCCAGCTAGCTGCAGGCTGAGCTGGGACCCAGAGCCCTTTCTTCTTCCCTACACTGCTTGGCTGAGGAAGTAACTCCTCTCTCCAACCCACCAGCCCACCAAAAGCAGAACATACTTGTTTTGGGCATTTCCAAACTTTCCAAAGGGGTCTCCGGCCATCCCGCCATCTCCGGTAAAGATGTAGAGGTACCCATCGTCCCCAAAGAGAAGCTGGCCCCCATTGTGGTTTGAGGCTGGTTCTTCGATCTCCAGGATTATCCTAAAGGAAAATAAGGTCACCCCTCAAACTCAGCCTTCCACATATGAGCCAAAAACACAAAACGATCAGATCGGCAATAAAACCTGCTCTCTCAGATATCATTTCACAATGAAAAAGACTTCATATCCTTTATAGCAAGTGATTTTTCACAAGGACCTGGTAGGTAGGCCAGGCAGGGATAATTCACTTTATTGTGCCAAGGAGAACCTGGAGGCTCAGAGAAGTTGGGTAACTTGCCCAAGGTCACACGGCCCATAGGTAACAGAGCTGGACTAGCACTCAAGTCTTGAGTTCTGGTCTGGAGTTTTTTTCCTACTGCTCTCCACTGCCTGCACCTAACCCATTATGATTATGTGAAGTGCCTACCTAGTCACCGGCACAGCCAGTGTCTTCTGATCATGGCTTCCCATACACCAGCTGCTTGTGCTGAGCACACTCTGTACTCTCCCTCACTTCTTATCTACTATGACTGCTCAGGACAGTAGGCTGGATGGTGTGGGTTGCACTCAGCTCACACTCACCCCTTGGAAAACCCCCTTACTGCCATTGCAGGACACCTTCCACCATACTTCCCAGCCAGCTGGCTTCCGGTTGGCAAGAGGAAGGGAGAAGCCACATTTCTCTGGCTCTGGCTCTGCCTGCATACGTGGTGGCTGCAGTGGCAGCAACAGTGGCCGGTGAATGTGGACTCCTGGATTTCCATCCAGACATCTTGGTACCAAGAACAGCAAACTCAGCGGCACAGAGATCTTTTCCCTTTTGTTCCTCCAGCCCAAGAGTGGTAGCGGCTTCTTGCAGTTGCTAATCTTGAGATAACTTACCCTTCCTCTTTTCCTTCTCCAGCCCTCCTGAGGCCTTTGTAATCAATTCCCTGTATTCATTCTTGGCCTGCTTGTGCCTACTTCTCCCTCTGAGTGAGTCAAATTCTGGGCTTGAACTTGGGAGGTCCCCACAGGACCTTCATCAACCCCCTACTCTGAAATATGCTCATCTGTATATTTTGTGTTCCACCTTCAGTCTTTATTAGGAATCAATTTTTGAGTCATTGTTGAAGACATATCTGTTCTGTCCCTCCGTCTCCCCTCTGTCAGGTCCATGTGATAAACCTGGGCTCTCTTGGAGAGCTGGTTGTACAGGCTCATAAAAGTTCATGAGAACTATGTTTTCTCCTTTTGCTCTGGGTGACGGGAAGCTCAGAGTCAAAATGAATGCTGCCTGACAAGATCCACATTAGCTCTCACAGCTAGCATATCTGATTCCTTCCATTTTTATAAGTTCAATGACAAGATTTACAGTTTTATCAAATACACGATGCATTGTTATTTGCTTGTTTGCCATTGGACCTGGTCCTGATCCTCTTTTAGGGCCTGGACTATCTGTTCCCTCCTTGAGGGGGCCTGTTCCTGCAAAATACCTTTCCCAGTCTCCTTTGCTAGCTGGGCTCTAGGTTAAGCCAATCGAAGTCATTGGCAGAACATGGGAGGGAAGAGCGGGAAGGAGAAGCCAGGGGGTTTCTCTTCCTCTCTCTGCTTCAGGCAGCGTCCTGGCAGCAGCTGGAACCCCTCCCTGGCTCCAGCTCCTCCAGCCCAGGCCCAATATGGTTCCAGCTTCCCCTGGGTGGCCCTAGCTCTGAGGCTCCAGCAAGCCCACCTTCTCACTTTGTCCCTCCAGCCCTAGAGGTGGAGGCAGCTTCCTCCAGTTAAACTCAGAGTTGCCCCCCATCCCCAGTTGGCTCTTCCATCATCTCTAACACCGGAGTGACTAATCCCTAGCATCAGAGTCTGCCTGTTGAATGGCCTGATCCAGGGTTTATTTTCCTACTGGACCCACACTGATACGTGTGCCCCTTGTGCCAGGCCAGGTCAAACCCATTTTGAGAACAGTTGGGACATAAATAATACACAGAGAGCAGACTCTGTATGCATTGATAGGGGCGGAAGCCTGGCGGCAGGTATGGGCAAACCTCTGGGGGCAGGACAGAGAGAATTCAGAATCCTCCTGGGACGGAGGATTCAGGTGGGGGGAAGTAGGCAGTGGGGCTCAGGAACGGTGCCCTTGGGCCAGAGCAAGGTGGGCCAGGGCAGTGGCATGGGCTCTGGAGACAGACAGACCAGGGTTCCAGCTCTGATGCTTCCTAGCTGTGTGACCTACAGGCACTTCACCTGTCTAAGCCTCCACTTCCTCATTTGTAAAATGGGAAAAATATACTAACCTCAATAGGTTTTGTGAGAATCAAATGAAATGAGCCATCTAAAGCGTCTGGAACAAAAGAGTTGGATAAATGTTGGGCTTTGGTGGCCAGATGGAAGGAGTTGGACATGATCCTGTGTGATGTCTGCTTTGCAAAACTGTCCTCCCCCTGGCCCCAGAGCATGTGATTCAGTCCCCCCACCAGGCATGTTAGATATTCCCAATATTTAACAACGGGATACTGACTGATGTGGTCATCCCAGGG